GGAGGTGAGAATAACGTGGAGAATCACATATTGGAGGAGAACAAGGGCCATGGAAACAAGAGAAGGTAAGTGGTAATGGAAGCATATTTATTTATCATTCGCTGGGGCTTAAAATTTTGATTTCTTTTTTCTTGGTGATGGTAAGAAGAATGCAAAACACATAAGTTCAGTTGTGACACAAGCACCATACTTTGATGGATATCAATGGAGGAAGTATGGGCAGAAGTGGATCTCCAAAGCAAAGCATTCTAGGTATGTGGAAAAAAAAAACATTTGCATTAATGTATGCGTTTACTATGTTCTATATTGGATTTACTATTGTGTGCTTTGAACTCTTTTTCTCTTTTAATTGAAAAGGCAGAGCTCTTGCCATCTTCGTTGAGAAAAAGTATATGTGGATAGATAGATTTTTGCATCGTGCAGCTCAAAAATGCTCCATACATATCTAATGGTATGTAACTGTATATAGTAAAAATAATCTTATTTTCGATACATCCAAAAATAGTTTTCATGCCGGCCAGTATGGTTAACCAGGAGCTACTATAGATGTGCCTATAGTAAAGAGCAAGGGTGTCCTGCAACTAAGACAGTACAACAGAAGGAAAGTGATGGCAATGGGACGGTGAGGTTGTTCGATGTTGATTACTGTGACCAGCACATTTGCAGCAGAGATGGCATAGCTCATCCATATGTTGTTGAGGCAACACACGACAGTGTGCCAATTGTCAGTCAAAACCAAAGCAGTAGCTCAACGTTTGTTAACACCGATGCCCACGGAGTTCAGGATGAAAGCTTTGAAAGCTTGTTCGTGGTGCCTGACATGCCAGAATATTTGACAGAGTTCACAGATGTTGAAATGGCAAGGGCATTTGAGATTACCTCAATGAACTCGCCAATGATCCCGGAAGACATATGGGCATGAAGAAGTCAGAAATCAAACCAGTCCTTTTATTGAATATATATGGGTGTAGACATATGAGCATGAAGAAGTGAGAAATCAAACCGGTCCTTTTATTCAATATATATGGGTGTAAATCATGAGTTCTGACAAGGAAAAAGGACATAGTTGAGTTACCGATTAGTCTACACTAAGTGTGGTAAGAAAAGTAAAAAGAGTGCAGAAAGTACGTAATAATAGACCGAAACTAAACATCGTGCAAAATCTATACATATGGTCTAGAATGCTGATGTACTATCTAGACTTTGGAGTGACATATAACTGTAAGGGATGCATCATGATTATTTTACTTGTCATTCCATTCCAAGTCTGTAAAAGGACACCCTGCAAAAGTCTTCCATCGGTAGAGTCCTCCTGACATCGCTTACTCTGCTAACATTGATTGAGAAAACTAGAGACATAGGACATAGACACATAGTAATCAACATTAAAAAAACTGTTTGTTAAGCAATACCTAATGCAGCCTAGCTAGCAATCGGGACGGTTGTATTCTCACCTGACTGCTTAACTTTGTCCATTTTGTACATGCTGTTGAATTGAACTGTACCGAGACTGAACCTTGCAACCACAGAACGGAACAAATAAATCATCTACATTAATTTGTCGACCACAGAAATAAATTAGGCGATGAAAGATTCACATGTGAAATGAAGACCGATCCATCGATTCGGTTTCCAAAGACTCTGAACTGCCCACGGTTTGGCAGGAAAACCCAAAGCGAAATCCGTCCAAACCTACTAGAATTTTTGCTCCCCAGAGAAAGACAGAGACACAGAGGGACGGAGGGAGAGGTGACCTTGGGCGTTTGGCGGAACTGCAGCTGCTCCCCCATGTCCCCTGTCCCCGCAGGGTGATCACTGATCAGCGAAGAAGCCACGGCCGCCAACCGCCATAGCCGAAGACGAGATAATTGGGCTAAAAAAAGGAATTAGGCAAGGGGCCCCTGCGCATTGCACCGATGGCGCCTGCTGCACCATGGATGAATGAAGCCCTTAGAAGGAAAGCCTAGCATGCCCTTAAGGCCAGTCTCAGCGGAAGATTTCATGTCCCAGTTTTCAAGATCAAATAGTTTTGGAAACTGAGAATGAAATAGGGTCCCTCAATGCAAAGTTTCATTTCACTATTTCATACACTAGTTTTAGCATTTAATTGTTGCACTATGTTATGATCAAATGTGGCTTGTGAACTATGTAGCAATTTGATATTGCTTTAAGTATTAGAATAGTGGAGCATAAATTAAAATAGCAAATAAACTAAACATGGATTTTGGGGAAAATTTGATCCGAGGCAACATCTTGCGTCTTGCTGTGGTGGTGGCCGGTGCCTGTTGCGGTAGTGATGCAGTAGAGGCGGGCGGTCGCTACAGTGCAGGCGAAGCACTCGCTGGCTGCGGCGTAGACGAGGCAGTCGGTGCGACGTGCAATGGTGCTGGCAGCCTAGGAGAAGCACTTGACGGCAGCGGCGTAGGCAATACGCACTAGAAATCTTGGTCCTCCGGCTTCTCCAGTCCCTCAATCCAAACCTTGGTGTCCGTCCTTTACGGCTCTCAGTTCATCGGCACGAACATGCTTGACCTTCATCGTCGACCACCACCGTGCTCCACATCTGTTCACCACAATCCAAGAGACATATTGTACAACACAAACCCACACCATGGTTAGTCTCAAACTCTACCAAAATCGAACTCACCTTGACAATCACTCATCATCAACCGAGTCACATGGGCACATGTCAACCATGTGTTCACAACATATCATTTCATTGTATGTAAGGTGATTTGCCAAACCTAACACCGTGTTATGGTACCAATAAGAAGGAAGCTATGGTGAATATGTGTGCAGCCGAGCAGTAGACAATAGACTAAGAACTCATGGGCATGCTCAGTATGGACATGAAGTACAGTAACTGAAGTGCTTCCCATCGCTTCATCATATTTTTATCGACAATGCTACAAACAGGATATCTGACGCCAGCGACTCCCTCGGCTCGAACATGTGGCGTGACGTGCACCACAACTTTGAATCCCTCCGTCTCTTATTCTTATCGGAACACCTCGGTCACTCCGCTCGGCCTTCACCCATGGCACCCAGACCCTACGCCGCTCGCTCCCTCCTTGCTCCGACGCCATCGCGCGTCCCACCTATGCCACTCGCTCCTCGCTCCTCTCCCCCACCCGTCGCGTGCCCCACTCACACCTCGCTCCTCTCCCACGCCTGTCGCATGCCCCATTCGCACCTCGCTCCTCACTTTGGTCATGCGCCGCGCCGCCCACTCCCTCTCGTAGCATGCACCGCCCGCCAGGCTAAGCCAAGGCCGGTGCTAGTGGCGCTGGCTGGTGGTGGTGCTCGCACGCATAGTTTAAAATAGCGTGCTCTTGAAAATAGCAGCAACTTTTTTCAGCAGCTATGAAGCTATAGCGGTGCTACGACAGATAGCGTATTTATAAAATAAGCATGAAAAACACCAATAATTAATGCAAAAAAGATGTCAAATATGAAATTCGATGAACACAAATATGTTTCAAAGATTCTACAAGTCTAGGTAACATTACCAATATGATATTCCAACATGGTTCGTGAAACTCCAGTGTTTAATTGTTCAAAATACCAAATTAGTAGCAAATTATAAGTAGGAAATAACTAATTAAATTAGTAAGCAAATGATAAGTAGGCAAATATGAAATAGTGCCACTATTTTAACGCTAAAGCTATGCAACTTAACGGTGCTATAGCTCACAATAGCTATCAAAGTTGGCATAGTGGCATAAAGAGCAATAGCGTAGCATCAAGCCTCTTCGGTGCTAGGTGCTGGTGGTGCTCGTATGCCGCAACTCGCCGTCGGCTCCGACCCGACGACTGGAATCTACCGGCCCAGGCTTCCCCTCTCCTATGTTACAAATGTATGTTTCAGGTGTTTAAGTCGTTTCAAATGTATATTGTAGTTGTTTCTTATGGATGTTGCAAAAGTAGCGAGATGTTTGCACATGTTGCATATGTTGCGAGTGTTTCAGAGGCATGTTGCAAGCGTTTGTTCAAAATATTTCATCTGTTCCAGAAGTATGTTGCAAGCATTTTGATCCGGATGTTTGCATATGTTGCAATAACATGTTCCATATGTTTTATGTGTTTAGACATATGTTGTAAGTATTCTATTTGGATGTTGCATATGTTACAATGATTATGTTGCAAGTATATGTTCTAAATATTCATCTGTTTCAAACGTATGTTGCAATTGTTTCATCTGAGTGTTGCAAAAGTAGATCTCAATGTAGGGTTGTTTAGCGCGGAAGAGAGAGCTAATGCGGGAGCCTTGGTGGCATCGACCGTAATTAAGCTGGCAGCAGCGCTCCACCGGAGGATGCGCAGGCGTCTGCGCTGGCGCAGCGTTCCCTATACGACATGCTGCCTCCACTGACCCCGCCGAGGTCCTAGAGCAGAAGCTTGTGGCATCTCCCCGCGCGACGGAGGTGCGGACCCTGGCTACAGAGGTGATGCGGGCGCAACGAGGTCAAGACGCCCTGCGGGCACGGCAAGTAAGCGAGCTCCCCTGTTACGCAGGCAGGCTACACGGGGAACGGGACAGGGTGTGGCGGAGCTGCTCTGGATGCGGGCCTGGGACAGACGCTAGTTATTCCGTATTTTTATGTCAGCATTATTGTCACTTTTGTCAGCACACGCTCTTGAAGTGGCCACCATCCTACTTGCTCTATACTACTGCCATCAACTTGCAGACATGTTTACACAATGTCCTTCGATCATCCCGTTTTTTATATTGCAAATGGTGATCTTCCAGAAAAATTGCAGATGGTGATCTGTGCATGAATGTATACAACAGATGTCTCTTTCGTTTCGCTGAAAAGCCAGACTGAAAAGTGTCGTTCAGTGATTTGTTATAAGATAAAAACACTGTAACATGGCTAATTACCCCCACTGATTGCGATACAGCTTTTCTCATATGATTCATGCGCTAAATCAGAAGCCGTAATTTTGTCAAGCTGTCTGCTACTTTGTGCGTCGACGGTTTACTTGCACTGAATTGAATGTCACCGGGAGGTGTTTCCATGATCGATAGGCTCGATGTCTATGAGGAGGCCCTGAGACGGGTACGGTATGGGCGACCTGGAGAAGCTGCCGTCGCAGCCGGCGGCGAGCTTCCACCTGAAGCGCGTCACGATGTGGTGCACGGTCACCAGCGTCTCCACCTTGGCGAACTCGTTCCCGGGGCAGATTCGGGCGCCGCCGCCGAACGGCACGAAGCCGTACGGCGGTATGGCCGACGGGTCCTCGAACCGCGCCGGGTCAAACCGGCCGGGGTCCGGGAAGATGGCCGGGCTCCAGTGCGTCATGTTGGTAGAGTACATCACCTGCCACCCCTTGGGGATGACGTAGCCGCCGTACTCGACGTCCTGGAGCGCCTTCCTCAGCATGCTGAACGCCGGCGGAACCATCCGCAGAGTCTCCATCGCCGCCGCCCAGGTGTACCTCATCCTGCAGAGGTCGTCCCACGACAGAGCCTCCCCTGCCGCCTTGCGCCGCGCGATCTCCTCTTGCTCTTGGAGAACTTTGGCGTAGGCGTCTTTGTTGGCGTCGAGATGCCGGAGGAGGAAGGTGATGAGGGCTGCCGTCGTGTCGTGCGCCGCGACCATGAGGAACATGACGTTGTCCGTGATCTCCTCGTCGGGGAGGCCCTTGGAGAGCATGTGGGTGATTATGTCGTCGGCCGGCGAGCTCTCACCCTGCTCCAACTTGGCCCTCCTCTCCTCGATGACCCCCGCGACGGCGCGCCGCCCGCGCCGGCTCGCGGCCAGGCACCGGCTGAACCTGGTGAAGGGCAGGTTGAGCGGGACCGCCCAGATGCCCTGCACCAGCTGCTGGAACTCCGCCGACAGCTCCCGCCGGACGTCGGCGCCGTCCCTCGACATCCCCAGCCCGAAAAGGACGGTGCTCATGACGTCGAAGGTGAGCGTCTTCATCGACGGCATCACCGCCACGCTGCCCCGGCCGCGCCAGTGCGAATCGAGGTGGCGCTGGACCTCGGCGTCCATGCCGGCGACGTGCCTCTTGACGGCGTCCAGCCTGAGGAACTGCACCATCATGGCCCTGACGCGGGCGTGCTCGTCGCCCACCACGTCGCGGACCGTCCGCCGGCCGACCATGCGGCTGAAGGCCTCGCTGTTCATGGTGGTCAGCGCGGGGCTGGTGAAGACAAACCTGTTGGCGGAGGGGCCGACGAGGAAGGCCGTCCGGTAACGGAAGAGCGACAGCCGTGACACCGGGCCGTAAGCCGCGGCGCGGCGGCGGAGCCAGTCCTCGGCGGTGTTGGCGCGAAGGGCGCGAAGCAGGCTAAGCGTATGCCCGACGACGGGTAGGCCAAAGGAGCCGGGAGGGAGGGCCTTTCTGCTCGTCTTGTTGCCGGCGCTGGCGAAGAGGAGACGATACAGCACCGGGAGCGATACAAGAAACGCGGCAACGATGGCCATCGTCATCGAATCAGCCTCCATTGCTTTTGCTTAATTGGGTCGATCGGGTGCGTTGAGAGAAATTAAACTGCTTTTGCTCACTCCGTATATGTTGCTAGATGAGATTTAGCGATGTGTAGTGGGTGGATTCCGCGAGGAGATGCCATTAGAGTATATGCATCTAACGACAAGCTAAAGTCATATCGTGATGCTTTATGCTTTGGGTTGTACTTACTCGCGGTTACTCTATTGGTATTGGGTTGGGTTGGGTTGGGTGTTATCGAACTGACAAGGACGTGAAAATATATGTTAGAGTTAGACTATCATTAGGATATCAAAACAAAGGACTCCATTCCTGTAAATTAACATAAGGCCTTTCTCCTTTCAAAAACATAAGGCCTTTCATCCTTATCCAGCCATGCCGGCCTTACGAAATCAATGCTGAGCAGTGTGTTTATACTTTATCCACTGTATTCGTAGTTAGTGATGAAGAGGCGATGTTTTTTTTTTCGCGAACAGATGGTAACCTGTTTTTCATTAAGACGACAGGAAAGTTTCAAAGTTACACGACATCGACGAGTTCCAGCCGTTCCACACCGCTAGCAAGACGTTAGCGTTCAGGACCAACCAAGAACGTTGACGCGCTACAGCTAGAGCCTAGCGACTACAACACATACAGAGGACTATACGGCACTAGAAATTGCGACCGTGGGTACACCAAGGCAAAGCTCTAGAAACGCTTGGCCTATTCGACGTCTGTCACACGACGTTGACCTCTCCCTGGAAAGAGGGCCAACATGGTTTCCCGCCTTCCAGGGGGCAGCGGCATGGAGAAAATTTGTTGAAACTCCTCAAAGGACACCTCATCAGGCTTCTCAGTCTCGACCTCCTCAAGCCCGAGCTTTTTCAGGAGCACCTTTCATGCTTGGGCGTCCGGCTTCGTTGCTCTGAACTTGCTCTTAGCAGCTAAACGGGCGCTGCGCATGGGGACGAAATCACCATCATCAGCAGCCTTGGGGTCCTTGGTGATGCGCAGCCTAGGCGGTGACACCATAAGCGGTTGCTTGAGCGGTAGCTTGATGGCATCGATGAAGTACACCATGGCACTATCCCCAGAGGAATCCGAAGCCGGCCTATCCATGTGCAGCGACCCACAACTACGCACAGGCGAAGCTGGCGCTCTGGGTGCTTCGTGCTCAGTCGGTGCTCCAGCTGTCTGGATGATAGGGAGCGCGGCAACAACCTCCACCATCATCGGATCCTCCGCCACATCTCGATCGGCCTGCCCCGCGTCTAGGCACAGCGACCCACAAGAACACCCAGGCAAAGATGGCATTTCGGGGGCTTCATCATCCGCGGGAGCAGCAAGCACGGGAGGTGGTGTTCCTGCTGTCTGAATAATGGAGAGCGAGGCAACAAGCTCCACCATCATTGGATCATCCGCCACGTCCTGGGCGACGTGCTCTGTGTCCAGGCGTAGTGACAACGTCAATGGGTCGAATCTGGAGCAGGAAGGAGATGAAGCTCCAACAGTAGTGTTGCCCGGGGACACCGCTCGCCTGCCTCTGGCAGCTGGTGAACCCTTGCGTTGGTCCGGCTTTCACTTCCACTGCCGCCGCCGACGTTTGTGGGGATGACCACAGGCTGAGGTGTCCAACGCGACACCATCAGCAACATCCACTGTGACGCCTGAGGAGGAGGTGCGTGGGGGGCCATCAGAGGACCGGTGAAGAGGTCGTCCACGGGCCCCTCCCCGTTTACGCCAGCATCGACGTGCATGGTGACCCTCATCCCCACAGCGGAGGCACCTGGACCGATTGCGGCAAGCTGCGGCAACATGGTCAGGACCAAAGCAGTTGAAGCAGCGTCCAATGAGTTCCGGTGGAACTGGACAAGCCTGAGGCCTTGGACCAACTGGGTGTGCCTGCGAATCCACGCCGCGTGGCAGAATCTTCCTCCAGCCATCAACGTCCGGGGCTGAGATATGGCGCTGCGGGCCAAGACGCTGGAACACAGTCACCCTCAGACGATCGATTTTGACGTCCCGTGCACCCTGGCGCTCTGGGTCACGTAGGGGTAGGTCGTGGACAAGCACAGGGCGCCCCAACGCCTCCTACGGCGGTGCCGACCCCTGACGCTAGCGCCAAATAGGGGCGCCCCTACACCACGATTGAGCGCACGCCGGGGGGTGGCGGAGCCGGGACCGAAGGAGCCCCTTCCCGGGGAGGCTCGAGGTTGCGCAAGGAAGGGCCCGGAGGTGAGCGCTCGAGGTCGGAGTCGGAGCGAGAGAGATGGAGTCCTCTTCCCAGCGACGCAACTTGGACCTCCCCGCGAAGCTACGGGCAGGAATGAAGGGATTCGCGAAGGGAGATAGGGCGCTTGAGGCGTCGGGGACGGCGGGGGCTTGTGCGGTGGCTACCGGCGCTGACGTAGCTTCCAGTAGGCTGGAGGGATTGGGGCTCTCGGTTAACCTGGCACGTCCTCCGATCCATCAGCTGGTAGATCAGGCAGCGGAGATGACAGATTTGGGGTCGAAGCAGTTGATTTGGGTAGCATTGTTGCGGATCTAGGGAATCCATGGGTGGAAACATTGGGGTGGGAGGAGGGGGGCGAGACGGGGGTGGAAGGAGGTGAGGCGCTCATCCGGATTTTATGCCCATCTTATTGATATGGCTCTTGGTCATTGTAGGGGACCGTGATGCCTAAGAGGGGGGTGAATTAGGCAACTTAAAATTTCTACTTCTAAACTATGGCCTCTTTTTCTAACCTTAGCAAAACCTATGCAAAAGATAAACTATCTAAATGTGCAACTACGGTTTTGCTAGTGTGTTGCTATCTCTACCGCAAAAGGAGTAATGCAATCAATGTAAATGCAGAAGCTAAAGAGCAAGGTAGAGATATGCAAACTCCCATCGACGACTCCGGTATTTTTATCGAGGTATCGAGAAGCACACAAGCTTCCCCCAAGTCCTCGTTGGAGCCCCTCGCAAGGAATCCCTCGCAAGGGCTAAGCTCCTGGTCAGGTAACTCCGTGGATAGCCTCGGGCCTTCCCCACGCGCAAGTGGGTCTCCGATGTGCCTTCCGGCAAGCCTCTCCCGAATGCTCCCCATCGTCTTCACTATCAAGCTTCTGACCAAAACACCGCGGGCCTTGTTCCCTCCGATACATGGTGGCGGCCACACAACAAACGCGGTTGGTGTGATCTCGCAAGACTATAAGCCCCTCCGATGTACAACAATGGTGCGCGCAAACACCGAGTGGTAAGAGGTATACAAACCTCACTAAACACTAGGCCTAAACCTAGAGCAAGCGCATAAGTGGTAGTCTAATCAACCTAAGCACTTCGGAAAGCACCTACGCTAATCACCTAATGAATCACTAAGCACTATGCAAGTGGAGATCACTAAAATGGTGTATCAACACCCTTGATATATTTCCTCAGCTCCACACACCTCATTTGGCCGGTTGGGGTTCTATTTATAAGCCCCACTGAGAAAGTAGCCGTTGGGGACGAAATCCCGCTTTTCTGCTACTGACTGGACGTTGATCACGTCCTGACCGGACGCGTCCGGTCGTCCCGACAGTTGGAGCCACGATCCACTGATTAGACGCTGCCAGCGTCCGATCACATGCCACAGGACGCGTCTAGTCGCATTTTCGCCGCTCTAGAACCTCTCTGTACTCAACCGGACTCTGTTATCCTACGTCCGGTCGATCTGCCGCCTGCGTCTGGTCTAGCGTTCGGTCACTGCTGCTACTGAGCCTCTTGATCAGGGCATCCGGTCACTGTGCTACCAGCGTCTGGTCCAGCGTCCGGTCACTTCTGTGAGCTCGTTTCTTCGCGATCTTACGTACAGCTTGGTTCCTATCTTTATGCTTGGACTTTGCTTGATATCTTGGGTCTTCTCTTGTGCATCTAAGGTCTTGCTTATGGTGTTGATCATCGGATCATCACGTTGCCTTCGTCCAAGTCACATCTTGCACCCTATTGAACTATAAAACAATCACTTGCAAATTCATTAGTCCAATTTGGTTGTGTTGGTCATCAAACACCAAAATCCAAAATAAATGGGCCTAGGGTCCATTTTTCTTACAATCTCTCCATTTTTGGTAATTGATGACAACACGACCAAAGCAAGCAAATAATAGAATTTTGAAATTTGAAAACTACCTACTTGCTAGGATGCAATGCAAGGGGCAAGGTTATATGATATTAAAAAGACACTACTTGTAAGACTAAAAAATACCACATAAAAACTTATCTTGCCCTTGCAAATATCCCCATGTGGCATTATGGATTTAAGCCTTGCTTCCTATGAATTCTTCCCATTGCATAGGCAATCCATAATCCACTATCATTCCTTTCTCGGACCATTACCACTTGTAGACACCACTTGTAGACTATTACCACTTGTAAATTATTGTGATCTAGCTTATAGCCCTACAAATTAATGCTTGCTTTTGGTCCTCTAAATTCTCCTCCTTTGAAATCAAACACCAAAAAGAAAGACATTAGTAGCACAAGGGAGGGTCAAACTTTGTGATCCTTTGTGTGTAGAGTGGAATAGGTCACAAAATTTGACTCTCACATTATATAGATTAAGCTCCCCCTAAATATATGCATACATATGGTAGAAAGTAAGGCATATGCATATTTGGCAAATTATTGCTCAAGGGAATTTAATATATATAATGCATGGAGAAAGCATATAAATATCAAAATAAAATCAACATGATAATATTGGTTTAGAAATACCACATGTGGAAACCAATTTGATTTCTACCACTTGCAATAGGTGGTGGATATTTGAAGTATGATGCTTAACTCCGGAGACTTCATTTTCCTTGCAATGAGACTACTACATACATGATACGCTTGAAAATGTGTTAGTCTCTAAGCATCCAACTTGTAGAGTAACCTCTCCCTAAATTTGTGCACACAAGTGTGGGATACTTGTAGAAGTCATGCACATAGATTTTAGAATCAATAATACCACTTGAAAGATGACATCACAAGAATGTGAGAGTCATTTTCGAAGGC